ACAGGCTGGCCAACTCCCCCCAGTTGACAGTAAGAGGGGAGTCCCCAACGGCTACCGGGACTCAAAGCCTCACCCCTACGGCAGCCCCGGTCAGCACCAGCAGCCCTCTCCGCCCCACCAGTATCGGTCCCAGCCCGCCCCTGTCCATCAGCCACCGCCGATGCACACAAGCTTTCCCGGGAGTCTGAATGCGGCCGATGGTAGTGGGTTTGACACCGGTGGTCACAGGTCGCACAAAGCGCAGCACAGCTACCCGCCCACTCAAAGGGGATCTGTCCGGCAAAAGTGAGTTCACCTTGAAGCATTAAACTCCGATTCTTCTCATTTTTCTGCAACATCTTAAGCAGAGCCGGTGCATTTCTCATTGCAGCTTGACATTGGCATCGTTCAAAATTGCTATCAAGTTATCTTGTGTCAAGTGACAGCCTGCTCAAGCAAAGTGCGTCTTGGTAGTGGCAAACATACAGATCCTTTTCTGTAGAATTTGTTACGTTTGACCTTGTGTGCACATGCTCAAGAAGAAGCAAACAATAGAAAAGGAGTGGCATGTTTGCCATCACCGTGCATCTCAAAAGTCTACCTTTCCCTTGCCCAGCTCATTCTGTGCGCTCTTGTGACCAGACTTTGATTTATTTGTTATTGACTACAATAACATTATTCTGATTCAATAATCACCAAAATGTATGAACTATTTAGTGTAGCACGGTTATTACCCATTCTTTGGGTTACAAACACTGCAATGGTACATGTACACAGAAATAGTGAACTGTGATTTGCGGCTTAATCTTTCTTTGCCATCGGCTTTAACACAAATGATCTGTATTTCATTGGCCTGTTCAACAGTGATCCTGGGAGTGCCCCAGACACCAGCCTCAGCTTCCCGCCCCACAAGACCTACCACAGCCAGTCCTCCCTCAACTCCATGCACTCCTTGCCAGAGGAAGCCTCCCCCAGGGGCTTGCCAAACCCGAGAGTGGACCCCCAGGCCACCAGGAACAGCAGGGATGCACCCGCAACTGGTGAGTCATCTCAGGGCAAGCTCCAGCACAAGGTGGACATCTACATCCCTTCCATACCCTCTACCTCAAAGGAAGCAAACAGAGGTAAGTTACTTTGCATTTCCCTCACCCCTATTATCAGTTGTAATACTGAAGTCGTTCATAGCATGCACATATCCACTAGAATCGGTGCTCAGGGTGCCATACATTATCATTATCCCATGCCTAGAAACACTGCTAAAAGCTGTCTTGGGCTGTGTCCGAAACGGGCTTCCAGAGCTACGGCTAGGTCTATTGTCTCCGCAAATTTCCAATGGAGCGAAGACCTAGACCTAGCTCTAGACGAGAGATTCGGATGCAGCCTTAGCTCCCTTGAGAGTAAACAGATTGGTGCAGCCTTTTCAGGCACTACCTGGCTGAGCAAGCACAGTAACCTTTCCACCCTCACAGGTACCTGTGAATACTCCTGGAGAGGAATATGGGGGCAAATTGACTTGCCCAAGGTCACAACTTACACCCCATCAGTGTTCTAGCTAGGATGAAATTAAAGGATAGGGGTTTCTGCCCGACGTGCCGGATGGGAGGGGTTTGACTGGATATTATTTTACACCCGAGGTTGCTGTTTAACCCCTTCGAGCCGGGAGACAGCAAATGCCGCGGCTCTGCGGGAGGATTAGTGCACCTGCGGTTTCAATGTGGGCCTGCTGCTGGACAGGGCTTTGCATACTGGGCATACCGCAACCCAGCAGTCGTGGTCTAAAGAACCCCAGTGTGAAAGGGTTAACATTTATTACGTTAAATATAACAGCTTTGTTTTAAGCTCCCATTATTCCATTCCACGTTATTCAGTCATTGTAAAAAGCAAAATTATCAGTTTTACACTGACCTCTACCCTTTTCTCTACTTTTTGGGGAGGGGGCTTTGCTAAGGCTAGGGGCAAATGTCTTATAAAACAATGGGATATCTGATCCACATTTCATTACTGCACAATTGTATTTTATGTGCTTATTCTTGTTTGAGAAGCTCCATGGTACAAAATTATTTTGATGTGCATCAATGAAAAATAACTAGCTTAAGTACACTTCGGTTTTCATTTCATTTTGAAAAACTTCAATCTGAATAGTTTCTTGGGGTTTTAACTCAACATGTGTGATTATTCTATGTACATGTATTCATATACAAAACCAGGCATGCCTACTTGAAAATTATCTTAATTCACCTGGGCTCCTACCATCGTTTGTACTTTCTTGCTAGGTTCTAAAACATTTGTCAAAAGAATATATGTCACATGATCATTCCAAACTTATTCTCATTATCACAAGGTTAGATGTTTGTGCCAAAAATAATAAAAAGTTTTGCCTTAAAATAACAAACACACGCTACCAAGGCAAAAAATAAATAAGAATGATTAACGATAACGAACTTATGAAGGAAAATGCTCTGTTCCACACTACAAAGAGACGAAAACACGACAAAACCATTGTGCATGGATGAGCTGCCATCATGTAGAGTACTACTATCATGCAATGGCCACCGAGACTGTGTGCCACGGTCTTACCAAATCATCCTAATGAATATCTCAATATTATACATATTGAGATTGTCTTATTTTTGAACACACCTATTGAGTTTGGATTTCATTGAGTTGGCTTTTTGTGGTAAATCATTTGTAAGGGCTAGGTGAGCAAGACCGTAACTGTTTCTATTCTATTTTAAAAGGGGGGAATTGATTCTGTTCATTGTTGATGCTGGTCAGATCGAATACCAAAGAAGGATCCCGACAGCCCCCGTTGGGACAGCAGCCACAATGTCAATGTCCACGCCATGCAGGAGCGGACAGCCAATAACAGGCCCAAGAACCACCCAAGGAAACCGCCCAGCAAGCCTCAGGGCACGGCCACCTCCTCCCAGGCCCCCGCTGTTGGCTACAGCAACCGGAGCAAGAAGAATGCCGCCTTGCTGCAGGGGAAGGATGGAAGCAAGCCCTCGCCCAAGATGCAGCGAAGGGACAATGCAGGTCAGGACAGGTCTATCTCGTAGTTTTTGAGGCTAACCAAATGATCTGGTCCAATTCCCAAAGCCCTGCGCTTGAAAATTGACAGTTTAAGCACTGTCAGTTATTGCTTTGTTCCCATCTTTTTAAATTAACTCCCTTTTTCAAAATGGCTTCTGGTAGATGCTGTCGGGATTATCATCATGCTGTTTGGGATTTTCAGATTTCTCTTTTTGTTTGCCGTTAATGCAAATGACTTGAACCAAAAGGGTAGTAAAACACAATGAAATCAGAACAACATGAACAGCATGAGGTAGTATCTGTTTGGTGTGTTGAACTCATGCTATTTCTTACGTTTGAAAAAGCAATATGCACTCCCATTCACCACCCTACGCTTTAACAGTACTGACCTCACCCTTCCAACCTCCCCTCCTCATTCACCGATGATTACAGAGCCTGCCAGCACTGAGCAGAATCTGGACACCCTTCCCCATACCCCTGCTGTCACACCACCCCCGGTCAAGTACAAGCCCAAGGGCACCAGCGACCTCTTAGCGGCTACGTCCGGGGACCTTTCCAAGCCACCCCCTGACCCAGGTAGGCCCACCCCCTTATGGTTTAAAAGAAAGAGACTTAAAATGTGATGGCTGCCTTGTAGCATGTGCCCAGCACCTATGCAGTGATGCTGAGAGCTTTGTGCACATTCCAGGGAAACTTGGTTATGAATCTTTTACACTGTGTTCAAGCTAGTGCCTGCAGGCATTGTGTCTGGTGCTTTTTTAAGCAGCTTTGTGTGCATCACGATGAAAATTGGTCATGAATTGTTCACACCATGCATGCTGTAATAAGTTCCTATGGGCATCGCCCCTGTGCTCTTTTGTGTGGTCATCACACGCAGCTCTATCTAGCATTTCTCCTTAAAATGACCACATCCATCCATGAGATAAACTCATTACATGACTCACAACACACCCCCATAGCTATCTGCCTTGCACTCACCTGTGTCCACACACTCGCACTGTCATCTCTTGACTTTCCCTTTTTCTGTTTTTCGTCATACCTCATCATGTCTTCAGAGTCGTCCCCTGTGAAACGAATGCTTTTGCCATCTCACTTTAATACCATTTTTAACACTGTGAGATAATCGTGATGTTGTGGTTGATTAGATCTTTTTGATTAAAGTATCTCAAAAAGGGGGGGGGTTTATGCTGTATAATGCATCTCATTTCATTTCCTTGGCATTTATTCCTCATCTGTTTTTTTGACCAGAATCCCTTCTGGAAATTAACGAGAAGCTGAGGCAAGAGCTGCTAGACTTGGACGGGGAGATCCAGTACATGAAATACGTCAACAAGGCAAAGGGCAACACCACACAGGCCCCCAAGGCAACCAAGGGGAAGAAGAGGTAACATCTGCTGGGATGGATGCCGAGGGTATCAGGCCCAAACCGCGATCCCGTCCAAAGTGTGCTTGGCATTTCATACAACAAGTGGGCGCAACCAACGTCTGCCCAAGTATGGGCAAGATCTGAAGCAGTTGGCAGCCTGTCCTGTTGTTGCTGTGTGTGGTCAGCACACAGGAATGATCACGCCAGACTGCAGATGGTGCCGACATACATTAGGTTCGACTGCTCTAAAATGCCGTTCATCACGTGGCCTTCCGCGTACTATCATGCAAGCAGTCCCCACCACTGGTTGCATATAGATTCATTACAAACAGTGCAAGGTGATGAAATCCTTTGACACTTCTGAAATACAGGTGCATAGCCAATAGCATTGTTCAAAGGGCAGTAGCACTGTTTGTATTACCCCCACACCTAAACTGCCTCTCAGGGTGACCCATACATGTAAGAAGTACTAATGATACAAGCAGTGTGGATCCTGTCCACCTGCAGAATTTAGGACTTCTCCAGACCCATCTCCTTACTTGGATTTGGGATGGAACCAGGATTCCTGCCTTTGTTGCTGTTAATAAGCAAAAGAAATTAAGAAGTAAACTGAGATAGTCCTTCACATACAAATGTATGCGTTCAGTGCCGTTTCAGCCGTTAAATTGTTTGTCGTGCAATACATATTTCTACACTCTACCCAACCGCTGTGAGATTGTGTTCAGATATTTATTACCATTAAGTACAAAGGATACTCAGTGAGCCATGTGTGTAGCATGGAACTTTTGTTCTGTAGGACCCGATTATCCAAATATCTAAACTTTAATGGATCCGGAATTCTAAAAGCGTGTGAGGAGCGAAATGCTAGTTTGTGAACCCTGTGGTATGGAAATTGAAAGCCTGAGTTAGGAGCATGTTCAAACAATCGTTGAAGGATATGGAAAGGCTTTTTTAAAAAACAAATTGATTTTCAAGCATACTTGCCATAGCATGTTAGTGCCCAAGCAGCATACAGTGTGATAAGTGATATTACATTCTGTGCTGAAATTTCCGTCATTACTTGTAAGCACTGCTCTTAAAAGCTTGTGCTGGGCACTGATGACCAGTGGAACTGAAAAATTGCAGGACTCTCTCAAATCTCTGTTTTTTTCTCCATCTCGAGAGCTCTGCACTTCTACTCGGTTCATAAAAACTCTGGCTCAATGTGGCTGGAGTTGACATTTCACTAAACTGTTTGATGTAAAGCCAAAGATGAAAATCCTTTGTCCTGACTTATGAGACCTGGCTGAAGTCAGAGAGGCAGGTAAATCCAGATATGCAGCCTTGCTTGGAAAACAGGCCCTCGATACTGCTAAAGTTGAAGGTATCTGCACTTTATACTCATTGATGGATTCGGGGTTGGGGGGGTAATGGAAGCCAGGCTCTTTCCTCCTCATAAAAATGTGGTCCTAGATCTACCCTTGTCTGCACCAGATCTCATCTGTGACCACTCAAATGACTGGCACGAGTGAATGTTGATGGTAGTGCACCGGGACTGTCCAGTGGTGGTGCGTTGCTGCTGAATATGTATGAGACACGTGCATCTTGAAATGATGTATTTAGGGTGTATACCTGGATTCTTGCTCTGCCCATGTGTATATATGTACATACGCCATAATACCATTTTATGTTTAAATGTTTGTGAATAGATTTCAAACTGTACAGTGTAATAAATACTTTTGAAATGTTTATTTTGCTTTTCTTTTGCACCTTTGCCAATGGCAGAAGTTGTAAACTTTGCCAAGGTTTAATATCTTCCTTTTCTGTTTGATTATACCAAGTCTGTGACGTTCCCCTACCTAAAGCAAAAGACCAAACTGAATGTGCCTACCTTGGGGAAGAGGTGAATTTTTGGTTTGTTTTCATCAAAATCTCGGCTTTGTTTCAAATGTTGACTTCACCCCATGCTTCACATTCACCTTCAAATGTTCACTGTTAATACTAGCTTTGAGTCACAGTAACTCCAAAAAAAAAAGCTAGGGACGGAAGCTCCCCCCTCGACACGTTCTCGTCGCGATGCATTTTTCTGCAGAGTTTTTCAAGTAATGCCTTGTAATCGTGGGATTTATAGTTCTTGCAAATAACCAGACTGGTCAGCCAAGTGATCGGATGCTGACGTCCTCACTGCGCACACAGGGGCGACAACACAACCAAATTTCACAGATGTAGTCACAAAGAGAATCTTTACAAACATGCAAGGTTTCGCAAAGATATTAGCATTGGAGAGTGGATATCTCTGTGGGGGGGGGGTCATATCCCGACCCCTTCTCCCCTGCTGTGAGATGGTCCAGAAAAAAGCCTGGTTCCTTCAGGTTAACTCAGTTTCATTTGTCAGTGGTGGGGGGGTATCATGTCAAACTAGTGGTAGAATCACAACTCAAATGAGTTTCATGCCATTGGACTAAAACCCAAGGAAGCTGGAACAACAAAGCTGGGATTTTGAAACACAGAAAAGCCATGTTTTATATGGGCTGGTGAGGAACAATTATTAAAAAGCTAGCCAATAAATGTGACAAGGTGTGTTTTGTATTTCATTATTTGAGTGTTGTTTTTGTTCTTTTTTCAGTCTGCTGTCTCGTTCTCATAGTCCATTCCGCCAGTAATGAACGGAATTTAAATTCTTTACTTCACCCTCGGTCATGGCGATCACGTCGGCCATACCTCAGTGCCTTTCACATTGTGGCTGGAGTCATGCGCTAGTCTTTTCTCAAGCGTTATTTGTACCGCGCATAGAGACACTGGTAAAGTGAAACTCGGTGGTTACTGTGATTTAGTTCCATGCTTTTGACTTCTAAAGTTCTACTGGTATATAAACCCTGCTGGTGGAGTCACAAATGTCGAGACATTGTGCAGACGTAGCTCAGTAATGTGACGTAATGTAGCCGCAACGAATTTTCTTATTATATACTCCTCATGGTACGAAAATCTTTTACACTCGTATTTGGTTAAATGCACTGAAAAATGCACTTTTCCCGACACAAAATTATTCACGCTTTCTTGGAAAACTGAGACTGCTGTTGCTGTGATGTCATTCCAGGGAAGACATAGTTTTTCTGTTACAACTGAAATTCACTTTCGGAATTTACTAACTGAAAAGGTTTTGAGAAAAGGATTAGTGCTTATCCGCTCTGAGGGGAACAAAAGAGGACGCGTTTTTAAATGACAAATAACGGTCCTTTGGTCGAACTCATCGCGTAGGCGTGCAAATTTATGCGCGTTTGGCGCGTGACACGCTCAGTACAAATTAGTACNTGGCCGCTGGTTGGCTTCTTTTTCATACAAAGGCGTTGCAAGTCCAGGTTTTTTTTTATATACGTCCGTGATTTACGCTGGACTGTTTGGTCTTCGCGTGTGCGCTGAACGCTTGCAGGTGCCCGATTGGAAAACTTCTCACCAGCGTCTTTCTTTCGCTGTTAAGAATGCGCTTCAACTTACATGTAGGGCGGATAGCTCAGCACATAAACAACAATAAATCGGCAAAGAAGAGAAAATTTATTCGGGCAAAAAGTACAAAAATGCAGGACTCTTCTTGTGCAGAGTCACCCGCGACATTTAGGCTTTCTTCTTGGGATGACATCACAGTTTAGCCACGCCGAATATGAAAATACTAATTAGCAACAAGGACGTAAAATACCTTTTGAAATAGTGAAATGAAAGTTGAAAATATGGTTAACTGAGACATAGAGGTTTGGAAGTTTTTATCAAAACAAAATAATTGCAACACCACTTGGGATAGCCAATGCTTTCCTTCATGTTTGATTGTTTCTGTGCTTTGCTCCGTTAACAACAAAGGCTAATTTTAATGATAATTATGAAAAAGCACTCTATCTAGGACGTGAACCAGTAAGTCTAGAGCAGCGGGCTTATGTCATACTATAAAAACAATCATATTTTATTATACAGTTGTTACTGCAGGAACTAAACAAGAAAATTAAGAAAGAGAACTCCATCGTATTTCCTGTAGTAAAAAACACAATCTAGTTATTTCAAATGCAAGGAGTAATTAAATAATTAAGTCTTGTTCTTGTACATCAGAGAGGAGTTTAAGAAATCTGAACATTTTTGAGAGAGTGTATCAACATCGAATGAGTTTGTACGAAGGCCTTGGAGAGATACATGTATGGTGGAAAATTTAATTCATGTCTTTTTCCTCTATCGAATTACTGTTTGTTCCCACGATTTATACTTAGTTTGTTTGAACGAATCACTCATTCGTTTGCGGAAATTACTAATTGGTGCGCCAAGAATTTCAGGAGGAAAGCCTCGAGTTCTGTGTGTGAGTTTCGTCTTCACCATGCACGCACCGTCGGGAAAGACTTCCCACTCTGGCCATTTATACTCCCTCCCCGTAACAGGGAAAAAGGTAATTTCGTTCGGTTGAGCGGGGCTGATTGAATTGAGGCAAATTACGTAGCAGGGGGAAAAAGATCTGGCAGAGAAAACAAAAACAAAACCGTCTTCCGCACCGATAACGTAATAATAAGGCAAATAACAAGTATCACTCCCTGACTTTTGAATAAGGAAAAGACGGTTAATATTATGTATGATGCTCTGCAAATCGCTCTGCAGAAGGCTTTTTGAGTAAGGCCGTGTCCAAAACCATGTCTTGGGCTACAGTCGCTCTTTGCGCCAATAAAGAAACTGCAGCCAAGCACGACGTCTCGCCACTGACACATATTTAAAAAAAATCTGCACTCTGCGCAATGCCCTTAATCAGCTTGTACAGATCACTGAATCCACTTGCAGCCATTTAACCGAGCCGAATACAAAGCTTGCCCGGCGGCTCGCCTTTGTTCTCCCTGGCGTCGGTAAAATGGCCGCTGGTTGGCTTCTATTTCATACAAAGGCGTTGCAAGTCCAGATTTCTTTTTTTACATACGTCCGTGCGTCTCGCAGTGTCCTTTTTATTAAGTTAACATGAGTTCTTGAAGTCACCGGCGGCCATCTTACCGTGCCAAAAACAAAAGCAATACGAAGGCTTACTCGCAATTGCCAAACAAATCATTCGTGACAACACAAGTCGTGAGACAGCGATCACCTTTTTGTAATGGCCGCCGGTGGTTTCATTTGATACCGTACAAAAACGTTGCCATTCCAGACTTTTTATTTGATTTGCCTACAGCCAAGCTGAAGGTAGCTGCGATCTGTGCCAGGGTTACGTAATACTCAACGCCCAAAGAAGCGTCAGTTCGAAGCTGCACAATGCCGTGTTTCCCGAATTCTTTCAAGTCAGTTGGACAAATTGAGGGACGGGAACCTGTCTGCCTGCTAAGGAACTCGTGGTGTAACGGGCATTCATAAATTCGCAGGCGAATGGTGGGGCTAAAATGTATATTTCTCACGTCCACGTCGTCTCGACAGCCCACTGAGTAAGTCTACCTTATGAAACTAATTTGTTGTGACTCTGATAGGTTAGGCGAAAGTGACTTCTGATGTTGATGTAGTTCAAGTAGAAGTGCGGCGAAATTCTGAGTTCAAGAACATGGCGACGTTCTCTTTTGGTTGGGTGAGTCAGTAAAAACATGCGCATGTACATGTACATGTACAAAGTCAACTTTGTGTAACGATTAATCCAACATTTCCTTAGGAGAATTTTACTGGCGTAAGTAGAAATGGGCAAATAATCGCTAAAATGAAGTCAAATAAATAAGGTAACATAAATAAAATAAAATATTGCAAATTATATAAAATAAATTATGATGAAATAAAATAAAATAAATACAAACCATAAAGTAAATGGAATAAAATGAGGTTAAATAAACTTGGGAAAGAGTTCCATATACGGACAACACTAATTTCCCATTAAAATGTTGCAACAGCCGTCAGAGAGTGATAACATATCCTAAAAAGTACAATTTAGGTAAGAAAATTCTGAAGGGCTTACTTAAAATACACTTAAGTTTTTTGAGACACGTCTCGTAGGTTTATGCACAGGGCATCAAGAGTTGTCCATAACAGAGCTCTTTTCTTTTAGGTCAGCAATTTAGATCAAGATTAGGGAGTGAAAGTTATGAAAAAGGAGCATATAACCGTTTGCATGTGAATACACTGGTAATATGCACTGTGCTGTGTGGACATCTAACACAATTACTGCATACACTAATTGTTCTTTATTTTGAAATAGAATCCTATAAAACACTTTAAAATGAGGTTATATCACTCAGTGTGCTGTTCTGACGGATGCCATATGTTCTACTTCAGTATCTCGATATCAAGAGGATAGGACCTTGCACCGCATTCTGAATATTTCTGATGGTTTTGGAAAATTGTGGTGCATTTTGAAGACTGCAACAATTCGGTTATCCCGGATGACGGGTTATTGCACTTAGTTCTGGTCACCTTGTCTACTCGGCTGCAATGATGGCCACATCCGCACAGTTGTCCAATGGAATTCAACGCTGACAATTTGAAAAATGCTGTTGATTAATTAACTGCAGGTGACTAAGAATGTACACCTCTACTTCGGTATACTAAGCTCCGAAATGCTTGAAGAAACTCCCTGTTTCTCCAGTAATAAATGATACCATTGAGCCAACAGTTACTGATGAATATCGAGTAAGCAATCATATCCAGACCACTTGAGATGGAAATGTGTCTCGATTTCAGCAAATGGATAATGAGCTGAGGAGCCAGCTTAGACATAAAACTCCAGTTATGATAAGTACTGTCGTGGCAGGTTTTGTACTCATCCGTGGGGCGTCATTTCTGCCGGGGGGGGTTGCCAATGTGATTTAGCGCTGTAATGCGTCGAGCCTGCCGTCTCGCCACTTTCAGAATGTAAACGTATAGAATCAAAATAGTTCCCAGAGGAATTGTGATGGAACAAATGGTTCCATATCGATACACTGCTAGAGCTCCGTATTCACAAGTACCATCGCTGGAAATCGTGGCTGGAAATAGCAGTCCAAACAAAATTAGGAAGATGACAAACAAAAGTGTCCACAATACAGTAGTGATGATCTTTGATCTTAGTGG